CATGACTAATTCTGTCTAATTCCCACTTCTCTTTAGTGCATCAAAAGCATTCAGTGCAAACAGTTTAATCCAATTCCTGAGTAAATGAATCTTATAAGCCAGTACTTTTTTAATGAATCAAAAATAAATTATGTGCCCAGCATTGTCCAGTTTCCGGACAAATGAGATGATTCTTTTTAGTAAATCAAAAATATACAGCATAACAAATTCCATCCAGTTCCCAAATGAATGACTCCTATAAGCCGATTCTTTTTAGTGAATCAAAAACATTCAGTGAAATGTTAAATCCAGTTCCTGGGTGAATTACTCTTATGACAGATTCTTTTTAGTCAACCACGAATAGAACGCTCTGCAGTTGCTGAATTACCGTAAATTACTTTTGTCATGTCCAATTCAAAATTAACCAAGAACTGTGTTCTATTGTACTAAAGGAATCGTTAAGAAACCATAATCGAATTGGTACCAAAATCTACTATTCCATCCTATTTTATTCTAAAGTTTATTTTGACTCTCACTTGACCCCAAGTAATAAAATAAACTTAACTAAACTTCTAGAACAGCTCTGTGTTCGCAAGAGGCTTCAACCGTCTTACTCTCGGTCATCTTTTCTCAACTGTCCTGTGTTTGTCTCTTACCCTGCTGTCTCTGTGTATCTACAGGACCGCCTGTACTTTGTCATGGAATACATCAGTGGTGGGGATCTCATGTATCATATCCAGCAGGTCGGCAAGTTTAAGGAACCCCATGCTGTGTGAGTACAGCTCTCATCTTTGTCTCTGCATAGCGCCATTAAGTGGCCACACTGCAAAGATGTGGCATTTTCAGATTCATCAATTCAAAATCAGATGAATGGCTAATGTTACTGACCGATGATTCCTTTGAGTCGATTATGCACCAGATGATGTTCAGTTGATGCGTTCCCCAATGTTAACTGTTGACTTCAAAGAAATTGTTCACAGCTGAACTCACTGATGAGCTTTTCAATCAGCTAGCTGATTATTTCACCTTGAGCTCACCGATTAGTTCATCGATGAGCTCACCAATGCGTGTCAGTTAGTGGAATGTGAATGCGGTTGAACTCATCCAGCTAACACACTCTGTAGAATGAACAGGTGCTCTCCTTGTTATTGCCCAGTTGGATGATGGGTGGAAAGGAGAGACATTCATAGGGCAGAAAGAGTTTCCTGCTGTGCTGTGTTGTCACTTCAAAGTGACCTCAAAGTAGTTTGACCCACTCTTGCTGCTGCCCTCCTTCTCTTCCTCTTCCTCAGTGCCCTCCTGTTGGAGATATGAGGTGTCTACTCAGCATAATTCATAATTAGGTGTACGAAGGCCAGGTCAACCTGCTTCCTCCATCTCTGACTTTCTCTTTCACTCTTCTTTTTTTCTTTTTAGCTGTATTTCTGCAGCTCGATAGAGTGCTGCAGTGATGTCATATTTTTGTAGACCAACCAAGCACTTCTTGATTATTAAATGTTTTGTTCATCATGATAAATTTTGTAGCCTAGCCACAGACCATAGACTTTACTTCAGGCATTTAAACATAAATAGATTTGGACCTGGAAGTGCTAAAATGCTAACTCATTTCTGTGTTTTTGGCCTACAAGAATGTCTTCCCTGCTGCACTTTATCTATTCATCTCTCCTCCCTGTTGTTTAATGAGATTTTGAGTTGAGGCAGATGAATAAGAGGAGATATAGAAAGCTTGTTTGTCCTCTTACATAGGGGTGTGTAAGAGGTTTTGTCTATAATAATATCGTAATAGTTATTTGAATGATTATAAACTATGTCACTCTCTTTGCAAAAACGAAACAAACACATGCCTTGATAGTACACGATTTCACTGTACAGTGAAAATGACCCCAAATTCAAGATATGGGAGCAAAAATGCCCCGTGTGAATTTTTGTCTTATATTTATTTCATATGATATAGTTAACCAAAATCACACAAGCAAGAGTGCAGTTTTTACCAAATATCAGCACAACATGATATTGATTTAATATAACAGTTTATTAAACTAGATGATAATATTGTTATTCAATTTTAGACACAATATTGTCAGTTTTGTTCTATTTTGCCAACATAAATGCTTCCAAACAAACCCACAGAAGAACCGTTGTGTGTCTCTCTCAATGGCGTTTCATTCCTTCATTCCATGAATCTGCATTTTTAACAAATTGGGTTAGTGAATGGTTCAATGACTCATTCATAAAGACAGTCACTTGCTTCGTTCCTGAATTAATCAGTCGTTTAAATGTGTGTATTTTCTTGATTTTTGTTCAGGAGTCAGTTGTCCACTACAGGCCTAAACCAGTCAAGGAACCAGCACAAAAACTAACTCCGCAAAATATTGTCTAGTAATTGTTATCAGCAAAATTCCCAAAAATATCAAGACATCATTTTTGTCAATATCGCACGCCCCTACTCAAGTAAATAAAACTCCATTTTTTTGCGTTTAAAATATTAGTAAAAAGTAGACTTGTTCTCTTACTAATAAAGTGAACCCTGAGCATTTTGCATTCACAAAGCACGTTACGAGTGACTGTGTAATCCCTATGTTCATTTAAAGCGATCACATTCAAGCTGAAATTCCTGTGAACCACCCTGTAACTAATTTGAAGAAAGAAAGAAAGAAAGAAAGAAAGAAAGAAAGAACCATCAGCAAATAGACAAACGTTTGAGGGTGATCTCAGTATGGGCGGCTCTTTGGCAGTAGATGACTGAGCTGACCTTTGCCGTAATCTCCTCTCAGAACCACGCTCGGTCTCCACATCTAACAAGCTTCATCCCTATTTGCTCTGCTTTCAGCTTGCTGTCTGCCCTTTATCATAAAGAATTAACCTGTCTCTGCATAGGAGAGCAGCGTTGTCATTGTGTTGGGTATGGAGCTCAGTGCAGTTCAAAGGTCAGGGTGATTATGAGTGCCCAATGACAGGGAGGAGGACGTGGAACAGTTGCAGCACTTCAAGTTGCACTTTGTCGCTGCACTTTGCACAACAGCACTTTGTCGCTGTTGGTAATGGAATAGATCCAGGTTTCCAGATGCCAAAGCCCACAATGGTTATGGAACACAGTGTGGGCTTTTATTTGCTTGTATTATGATATAATGAGATTCTAAGATACAATGACTATTTTCTTGTTACTTTGCACCTCCTCCCTTATTCTCTCAGTATATGGATATATAACCATCATTTGCTTTGCACAAAATGTACACAAAAGTCTCGTCTTAAATGAAAAGCCATTTAGTGACTATTAGCACAGATGGTAATACAGTGTTAAATGTGGCAAACAGTTGCTGAGTTTTGTGAATGAAGCTCAAAGTATGAACCTGATTTACATAGAAATGTATGGAATTTTGTGAATACTGCTTAAAAATGAATGAAAGAAATAAATTATCAATGTTTTAATTCAAGAAATAATGTAAATTAAGTTATTTTCAATTTAAAACTATTTCATGTTTTAAAATGTAGTTGAATGTAACAACATAATTACACTAATTAAAATTAAATTATTCACTTTTAAAACTGACAAATAAAGATATGTATGTCACGATGCACACACACGAGGAACGAGGAGACGCTGGAGAATTTAACAGCTGTTTATTTAAAATGTTTCAAGGGTAGTTGTATGTAACAAAAATACAGTAATTATTATAAAAGTAGCCACTTAAAATTGACAAATAAATAGATGTTTACAACTGTGCATTAAAAATGTTTAAAGTTTAGTTGAATATAACAATTACAGTAATCATAATAAAATTGGCAAATATATGTATTTACAGCTGTTTATTTAAAATGTTTAGTGTAACAAAACTTAAAAAAATGTAATACATCACTTGCCATTTTGACCTCTTTATATAATTCATGCTTAAAATGTCAAATGTAGCAGTAAAATAAAGAATGCATTAATCGTTTTTATTAAACAATTTTTTAATAAATTGATAACTGATATCTTTAGGTGGCGTTTAGAGACCTCCAAAGAAAGGAAGCATGTTTGAAAAGAATGAGAGTGAAATAATTTATATACAGCACTGTTACACTGTTGTCGTTAGTGCCTGATTGCAGGTAGTTAGTGAAGGTTTTGTGCTGAAACTCTTTATGTGAAAGCGTTGCAAATGTTTAGTGAAATCACCTCTGTCTTTCTCCCTCTCTGTCTGTCTCTCTCTCTGAGTGGTGATAGCCAGAGGCTGGTTGCCGCTGTGGCCTGGAAACAGAAGTTATCTTTTGACATAATCTGACCTTGTAGTGAGGCCTGTTTCCTGCTCCACCCCCAGCTGCATTAGTCACTGAACACGAATGCGAATTCTCTTCAAATTTTACTCTAAAATATAGGACAGACAAACACACCACCTGATAAATAAGAGATTACTGCATGCTTGTATTAATAACAGATATCTGGTTTGCTTTATCTCTCTTATGTCTTTTCTGAGGGCAGAGCTCCAGTTTCCAGGTTCTCAGCAGAAAACACACCTTTATCAGACTGTTATATTATTTATTAGACAGATGTCTCAGGACTGATTGGACAGTCGACAGACTGATAAGATTTTTGGTAATGACCACCTGGCCCAGACTTCTGGCCATGAAGATTGTCCAAGAAAACCAACTAAACAGATTCATCTCCTGTGCTCAGATTTTCATATTGATTCGGATGTGTGTGTGTGTGTGTTTAGGTTCTATGCTGCAGAAATCGCCATAGGCCTGTTCTTTCTGCATGTGAAGGGTATTATATACAGGTGAGTGAAGCCCAGACAGCAACACACGTCAATCACACATAGAAGTGAGAAGAGTCTTCCTGATAACAATTGACTGTTCAATATGGCCACCACAAGGGTCTTTAGAGGTGCTGCGATATTAGACAATTTGCTTCCAGAGCAACACACACCAAAACACACTTGCTTACACAGAGCAATTGAACTTAGTCAGAATCGATGCTGTATTCAGTTTGATGCAAACAAAAAATGGCCTTGAGGGATGGAAGTACTGTCCGTTCAATTTATTGTACTGTTGTTTAACTGGGAGACGATCATTCAGCCAGTTGAAACATTGACAACACAATAAGTTTTTCCAGAATTTTTTAGTGGACAAAAAACATTAGACATCTTGAGCTGTGATTAATTAAACATGACCTGCGACTTTATAAAACAGTAAAGTGTATTGAATCGTCTTGTGTTTCATTGCATTACAAAAACATTATTTTTTTCATTGTACCAGCATAGCGATTGAGCCCCTGGATGGTGGCCTAAATCGGAAGTAGATCTGTAATCCAGGCTGTTAACACAAAACGTCCACCACACCACTATACAAACAGACAGCACTCATGAATTCTTTACAGAGCCCTTTTTTCTCCTTCATCAAGCTCACCGGTGCTTCTCTTTATGAAGCTTCCAGGGTTGGCCAGTATAATGAGGTGTACTTGGGATGATTTTGCTGGCGAAATAAAAAGAGCAAGTTAATATTGCAATGATTTAAACACTTTTTTATTTGGCCATTAGGTCTGCATTGTTGGACTAGTTTGACAATTTGAGATGTTTAAATAAGCATTTCGGATTGAAAAACAGTGAGTGGCCAAAATTCATTTGTCCACAAGGTGGCAACACTAGCCCGGTCATAACTTCTGGTGAGAAAAAGCGCAGACACTGGACAAAGATGCTTGTCAAATGGAGTTTAGTTTGAAAGGCTGCGCATTCGGCTGTACACATACGCTGAGTGTACACGTAGAAACCAAAGTATACGCAACGCGAACTTAGAGCAGGTGCGTTTAATCCTGGACACCATTAATCATTAAACTAGTTTAGTTTAAAATCAGCTGAAACATGTATGTTGTATCAAATTTATTAGGGGAGTAAGAGAATATAATTCATTTTTGAATGAATTATACTTGACAATAAGATTGTTTGTTAACATTAGCTAATGCATTGACTAACATGAACTAACAATTAACAATATATTTTTACAGCCTTTAACATTCATTAATGTTAGTTAATAAAAAGTTTGTTTTTGTTAGTTCAGTGCATTAAATAATGTCAACAAATACAACTTTAACCATTTTAATAATGTTTTGGTAAATGTTGGATTTAATATTAACTAAGATTAATAAATGCTGTATAAGTATTGTTCATGTTATCTAATATAGTTAACTAATGTTAACACAGAAAACCCATTTAACAAATGTTACCCATTTTTGTTACAAAACTATGGCAGTGTGTGTGTGTGTGTGTGTGTGTGTGTGTGTGTGCGTGCGCACAGTTTTCACCCATGTTTAGCCCTTTTGGCCCACCACAAATTTTCAATTTAATAATCCAGCCCCCAAATGAAACTAATTGAATAGCCCTGTATATTATATATAGTATATACTGAATATATATATAGTATAAAATTATAAAAAATAATTGAAAACATGTAATTGTAATGTTTTTTAACATACTCACACATCATGGGCCATGAAAGCCTCTCTACAGTACCTTCCTTGAACAATCATTCATTTTCTCACTGTTGTTCCTTGTTCTTGCTTGTTTGTGTTCTCCACTGACTCCTCTCACATCTTTGTACATCAGAGATCTAAAGTTGGATAATGTCATGTTGGACATGGAGGGTCATATCAAAATAGCTGACTTTGGAATGTGCAAGGAGAACATGCTTGATGGATTTTTTATTTGGCCATTAGGTCTGCATTGTTGGACTAGTTTGACAATTTGAGATGTTTAAATAAGCATTTCGGATTGAAAAACAGTGAGTGGCCAAAATTCATTTGTCCACAAGGTGGCAACACTAGCCCGGTCATAACTTCTGGTGAGAAAAAGCGCAGACACTGGACAAAGATGCTTGTCAAATGGAGTTTAGTTTGAAAGGCTGCGCATTCGGCTGTACACATACGCTGAGTGTACACGTAGAAACCAAAGTATACGCAACGCGAACTTAGAGCAGGTGCGTTTAATCCTGGACACCATTAATCATTAAACTAGTTTAGTTTAAAATCAGCTGAAACATGTATGTTGTATCAAATTTATTAGGGGAGTAAGAGAATATAATTCATTTTTGAATGAATTATACTTGACAATAAGATTGTTTGTTAACATTAGCTAATGCATTGACTAACATGAACTAACAATTAACAATATATTTTTACAGCCTTTAACATTCATTAATGTTAGTTAATAAAAAGTTTGTTTTTGTTAGTTCAGTGCATTAAATAATGTCAACAAATACAACTTTAACCATTTTAATAATGTTTTGGTAAATGTTGGATTTAATATTAACTAAGATTAATAAATGCTGTATAAGTATTGTTCATGTTATCTAATATAGTTAACTAATGTTAACACAGAAAACCCATTTAACAAATGTTACCCATTTTTGTTACAAAACTATGGCAGTGTGTGTGTGTGTGTGTGTGTGTGTGTGTGTGTGCGTGCGCACAGTTTTCACCCATGTTTAGCCCTTTTGGCCCACCACAAATTTTCAATTTAATAATCCAGCCCCCAAATGAAACTAATTGAATAGCCCTGTATATTATATATAGTATATACTGAATATATATATAGTATAAAATTATAAAAAATAATTGAAAACATGTAATTGTAATGTTTTTTAACATACTCACACATCATGGGCCATGAAAGCCTCTCTACAGTACCTTCCTTGAACAATCATTCATTTTCTCACTGTTGTTCCTTGTTCTTGCTTGTTTGTGTTCTCCACTGACTCCTCTCACATCTTTGTACATCAGAGATCTAAAGTTGGATAATGTCATGTTGGACATGGAGGGTCATATCAAAATAGCTGACTTTGGCATGTGCAAGGAGAACATGCTTGATGGAATCACCACCAAGACCTTCTGTGGGACCCCTGACTACATCGCCCCTGAGGTGAGTGCTCAAAAAGGGTTCTGAGTGCCCAAGTGTTGGATGAGAAAGTAGAGCCAATGGCCTACATATTTCATGTGTGTGTGATTCATGGACAATTGCACATCTACCAGGGCTTTCACTACTGTACCTGCACTTGGTCTCACACATACCCACATAGACTAATTTAAGTTCATCTAACCTTACAAATTTGTACAGTGTTGTTTCTAGGAAACAAACTCAATTCAGTTCTACATAACATAGAACATAAATATTGTTTTATTAAAAGTCATCCATTCAGTATTAACCATTGTATTGTCATCTCATATACATCATGAGCTCGTATTGGAGAAAATGGGTTTGTTACCCAGAGGCAGCGTCATGCAGTAGAGAGTTACGTTAATTAGATATCTCACGTTCATCTCACCGAACACCAGATGGTACTGCTCCAAGTGTAACACCAGCAGCATGAGCTAGAGATGGATTCATGTCAACAACACACAACATGCTGTAAGAGTGAAGGGATTTGAGATCCTCAAGTCCTCAAAGCTTAAGATGCTTGTTTCAAGACTTTACAGTACATAAAACTCAATGTAACACATTTTGAAAACCCCATAAACACTTCTAAAACTCTTGACAGAGTGCAGGGTGCGATTGATATTAATATTTACTGTTGTCCTTGGAGTGCCACCCATTTGTAGTTGTTTTTTACGCCTTACACTCGGAGTGTGTCTGTTTCAGATCATTGCTTACCAGCCTTATGGGAAGTCAGTGGACTGGTGGGCTTTTGGAGTTCTGCTCTATGAGATGCTGGCTGGGCAGGTAAAAATCATTATAACCCAGATCAAGAAGGCCCAAGTCAGGGGTTTGTGCCTTCTCTCATTCGCTCTGTTTCATTTCCTCTCTGCTGCTTGCAGTAAATCACCTCTTGCTATCTCAAGGTCAGTTATTATTAATTATGTTCTGCAAATCTCCCGAGACTAACGGCAAGTATTTCATGCCTATCGGGCTCAGTCAATTATTTATGAATTGTTCTGAAAGTCAAGCTTTGAACGCTGGAGAAAAAAAGTCTGAATTGTTTCCAGCGGAGACTGCTACTGCTGAGCTGTCATGACAAAAGGATGTCGTAATTCTCTTTTCTAGTCTCCGCTAAACAAACAAGACTTGAAAGGCACTTTTATGTTGATGACTTTCAAATTTCCTATGTTAAAGGGACACAAATGGGAAAATTGCAAGCAAATGAGATATAATCCATGTTATTGTTGTCGACCAAACAGCATTGTCCTCTCATCTTCTCTGTCTCTTCTCTCTATATCTCTTTCCAAAGCCCCCATTTGATGGTGAGGATGAGGATGAGCTGTTTCAGTCCATCATGGAGCACCATGTGTCCTATCCTAAATCCATGTCCAAGGAAGCTGTGGCCATCTGCAAAGGGGTGAGCAGCCAGTATACATCACATTCCTGAAACAGTATCCAGCATCCTGTCTCACACTGCAAGGACATGTCAAACACAATTTGGTTATGATGATGATGATGATGATGATGATGATGATGATTATTATTTACTACTGTTCACAATTTTGTGGCAGTAAGATTTGTGTTTTCAGATTTGTTTTCAACAAGGATGCATTAATGACAGTAAAGTGACAGTACTGATATGTATAACATTACAAAAATATTTCTATTTCAAGTAAATGCTGTTGAACTTGAAAAAAATGTATCGTGGTTTCCAATGAAAAAAATGAAACAAGTGTTTTCCACATTGATAATAATAAGAATCTTCTTGAGCATCAAATCCGCATATTAGAATGATTTCTGAAGGATCATGTGACACTGAAGACTGGAGTAATGACTGCTGAACATTCAGCTTTGCATCACAGGAATAAATTACATTTTCAAATATATCAACATAGAAAATATTTATTTTAAATTGTTATAACATTTCAATTACATATTTACTGTATTTTGATCAAATAAATGCATCATTGGTAAGTAAAAGTGACTTCTTTCAAAAACATAAAAAAATCCTACCAACTGAAACTTTTAAACTTTAGTGTAAATTATTTAAATGACTTTTTATTTAACAATTTCTCATTACCATTAGGAATTGCATTCATTTTATTTGATCAGAATACATGCCTTCTTTTAAATGAGCGTCAGTGGAGAAAGATGCAGAAAAATGGTGTAGTTACAACACCTACCAGCAGGGTCATGCTAACAAGTCACACCTTGTCCCCTAGTCCTGAGGTCACCCAAAGTATCAAATTCAGTTCAGAGTGACTAATGGCCCGGAAAGGTGCAGATACAGTCCATCTCATCATTGTGTCCCTGAGAAAGTACTGATGTTGTTTCAAGGTGACTGTCTCGGCAGTTCACATACTGTAAGTGGCTTTGAATGAAAAAAGTCCAGTTATTATATGACCTCATGCGATGCATTATGAATTACTTTTTTATAGCAGCAGTGGTCATTGCAGTTTGCTCTCAGCAGCTTTGAAAAATACCACAGCCTCTGACCTATCCTATCAATAATCACGTCACGGCCTTCTCAAAAATCGCCAGTTCTGTCTGTCTCTCCATCGCTATCTTCCATTCACTCTGTCTTTGTTATTAGGAGGCCAGTGCTGCTTGAGACTCTAGTGCTGGCAGGTGAAGCAGCGAGTACACGATCTTATTCTTTATTTAAGAGATTTTCTCTCCTGCAGATAAAAGCACACAAACATACGGCCTTAGACAGCACTTAGTTGGAATGCCAATGACTCATGGCTGTGTGCAGGACCCAGGAGCTCAGCTCTGTTAATTGCCAGCTTTTACTGGAGCATGGCTAGGCTGGTTTTGAATGGATATGAATGTTTTTTATTGTTTGTTTGTTTTTTTGCCCCAGCAAAACAAGACAAAAGCCGCAGAATGACAGGGGCATCTTAGTCAATAGTATAACGCATTCCCTAAAAAGTGCTCGAAAGGGAGCTCTCTCCTATTTGCTTATTCTTTACATGTTTCTGTTCTTTCTACTTGTCACTGCGGTGTCAGAGTGGAGCATATGGCTGCTGAGAAAAGAGTTTTGTAGAAGAATGAAAGCCAGGCTTGTGCGTGGGTACATTCTTACGGTGGTTGGGACATGACATCTGTTATTTGGGGGAATCTCACCTGTCAACTTGCCTGGGCCATATTTCGCCCCACCCAAAAATAAAAATAAATAAGAAAATGCAACATATCTATATTTTTATGACCGTTAAGACCTTTATTTACATTTTCACAGTTGTCACAGTTGTCAATACAGTAATGCAATAATAATAATAAAAATAATAATCAATAAAAATATAGATTTTGCATTGCATTATTATTTTCATTTTCAAACATTTATTTTTCAGTTTTTAAATAAATGTTTAATATTTTGAGGGGGACCATTAAGATTTTCTTTTGCATTGTGGCATTATTTTCAGTTTCCCTGTTTGCATTACCATGATGCAAAAAAAAAAAAAATTTAAATTTAATTGCATTGTTTAATTGTTTTATTACCCAAGTTTACATAATGAAAAAAAATGCATTATTTAAAATATACATTGTTTATACGTCATGGTAGTATTTGTTGTGCTGCATCAAATTGTGCTAAAGCATTACGAAGTTATATGTGTAATTACCAGTATTACAGAGGATGACTACAGTAATAAAAATGTACAATAAAAATGCTAAATTGGCATGAAGATAAAGTCACAATGCATAGAAATTTTATGCAAAGCATAATTTTATTTTACTTTTTCCCATTTGATTTTGGGGTGAAATGTGACTTTTGACGAGTGATTCACCAAAGTCAGTTTTCGCTGGGCTTTGATGATCTTCTACCTAGCATGCTGCCTGGTGACCCATTTTTGTTTAAGTTAGGACAATGGAAATCTTTGGTATTGGGAGGACAAGTTCTGGAATATAAAGTGGAAAGAGAGATGTGAGAGCAGGTGTCTCCAGAGGGACCTGCGCACTAATACATTCATGCTAATGTGAACATTAAATAATGAATCGACCCTCTGTGTTTAGAATCTGAATGCTACCCCTCTTTGACTGGCTTCATGAAAATGCAGCATGCTGCTGGGTAAAGCCTGATAAACAAAAGCCCCCCTCCTCTCCTCCCTCTGTTCCCTCCTCCTGCCTCTCTTTTCTCCATCCTTTTGTTTTCGGCCTATTTTCCCACATAGATATAGATGCTACGCACAACCCTCGTCCTTTCTGCTTGTCGATTTTTCTTCCTTGACTTATCCTGCCTCCGTCTTCTCCTCAGTCTGTCTGCAGAGCTCATTGTCTTGATGAGTTCAGTCTCCCTCTCTACTCTCTCCTTCATAAGATCTGCTGTAAGTGCTTGCAGAACTTCTCTAATAGCTTAATTCTGCAGTGCAGCAAGTGTGTCAGATCCTGGAGGCCTCTCTCCCCAACAATCTCCTAAAATAGAGCAGGAATACTAAATGAATCCTTGACATTTAAGACAGATTGGAAAATCCTGTAAGTTTGGACAAGCGCGGCTTTAAGCGAGGGGTGCTGCCGCCCGCCCTGCCGAGAAAGCTACAATGGAGCCATGCAGTATAAATGAGGTATTTCCCTTAACCAAGCGGAGCAATCGTTCTTCCAGCACAGTAATTGAATGACTAATTTAGTCTGGCCTTGTGACTTTCAGAGGACAGATGGATAAATTGAACCTGTCGTAATCAAAATGTTGATGCCCTATTCTGCCATAAAAAAAGCAAAAGAAAATCCTCCCCTTCGCTTCTGTAGAGCCTGGGGTTTTAGTTTGAGGGGATATAGGCTTTTATGCTCAGAACATCAGCTGAGGGAATATTCATTTGTGACACTTACATCGACAGATTGCAGAGAACAGCACAGTGAGTGTATTAAACACTCTGCAAGTGTTATGGAAGGAGACTCACACAGAAGGTTAGGAATAACAGAGGAGGTTTACTGAAGGCAACAGATGCTGGTGGTAGACTGGTAGGTGAGTAAGCAGTTCAAATGGAAATGTTCAATTGTAATAGAGGTGTGGGAATGAGTATGCTTGCCCTTGCAGGAGTCCGTGGAAGAGCAGATGGTGGAATGGAAGGTGGCACACACCTCACCGTAGTAAGGACTGGGGGGGTGTTCCCGGAGACGTAGGAGGACACAGGCGTTGGAGTAGAACACAGGAGGTAAGTACACGAGGAAGGTAAGGATATCAATCATTCGCTGGAGTAGCATGAAGAGTCCACTTCGTATAAGCGAGATCGGACACTGGAGTGAGGTGAGGTGTGTGCTTATGAAGTGCCTTGATGAGGGTGATGATCATGAACAGGTGCGTGCAATCAGAACTCAGGTGAAGGTGTGTGCTGTGATTGGGTGGTGAGTGAACCTGGCCGATCCGTGGCAGTACCCCCCCCTCCACGGCCCGCACCTGAGGGCCGAGGACCCCGACGTCGTGGTGGTCTACCCCTTCCTCGGGGAGCAGGACGGTCGGGATGCGTGGAATGGAATTCCTCCAAAAGCGTGGGGTCAAGAATGTCATCCCTGGGGACCCAAGACTGTTTTTCTGGGCCATATCCTTCCCAGTCTATGAGGTATTGCAGTTGGCCACCACGGAGCCGGGAGTCCAAGATCTTGTTGACCTTGTAGACGGCACCGTCCTCCAGAATCAAGGGAAGAGGGGGTTCCTCTGTCGGGCCAGGCTCTGTGGAGGCAGAAACAGAAGGGTGGTGAGGTTTGAGCAGTGACACATGGAATGTGGGGTGAATTTTGTATTGAGGAGGAAGCTGAAGTTGGTACGTGACCGGATTTATTTGTTTGGTGATGGTGAAGGGACCAACGTATCTGGGACTTAGCTTCTTGCAGGGCAGGCGCAGCCTGATGTCCCGGGTTGACAGCCAGACCTTCTGACCAGGTTGGTAAGATGGAGCTTCTGATCTTCGAAGGTCCTCTGTCATCTTCTGCCTGCGCACTGCCCGAAGAAGTGTGAGTGGAGTGAATCAAGGGAGTGCGTTGTGCTCTGGTGACGTACTGAAGTCCAGGTGGACAGCCCTGCGGAGTGCCTGTAGAAGCATTGGTGGAGGGAACTGGAGTAGAGGTCCATTGGATTGGGCTGAGAATGAGTTATTTGGCTATGATGGGTTCTGGTTCTTCCTGAATTTCACTTGGGGTATGGAGTTGTGAGAGAGCATCTGCTTTTACATTCTTTGGACCTGGATGATAGGATATAGTGAAATGGAATTTTGTGAAGAAAAGTGCCCATCGAGCTTGGCGTGGATTGAGTCTTTTGGTGTCTCGCAGGTATTGTAGGTTCTTGTGGTCTGTGAGGACTGTGAACGGATGTTGTGCTCCCTCCAACCAATGCCTCCATTCCTCCAAGGCCAGCTTGATTGCCAGGAGTTCCCTGTTGCCGATATCGTAGTTTACCTCCGCAGGGCTGATTTTGCGGGAAAGAAGGCG